GTTAAGCATGAAGAGGTTATCTTGAAATGATAAATTGATGATATGAAATATAGGGCGTTATAATATATCAATTCAAATATTTCTTGAATTCTAGAAACCATGCACTTCAATTCAGAACTGTTTTATAAAAATAACATTCAGTTCTTACGTGGTTGTTGACTACCTCTATTCATAAAAGAAGGTTCTGCAGTCACATTTTCTCATGAGATTTCTAGGTCTTCAGGCTGCAGAGGAAAATTTATAATGAAAATAATGGGACTGAAGTTTCAGTACCCTTTGTTTGATAGTCCCTTCCCAAAGTCTTTTGCCTACTTCATACTGGTAATTATATATATATTTTTTTTCTTTTTTTTTTTTTTCCCCCTAAAAGAGGACTTTCCCAAGGTGAATAAACCAAGTTACACAAAAACCTAGATCCAGCCCTGCCTGGTCTTTTGTGTTACTACCTGTTACCTGCCACTCAGCATTATCTTTCTGTTATCATTCCTTTATTTATCTCACTCTCTAAAAGTAAACTAGATAAAAAGATCTTCTCCTGGCCTGAAAAATTATCCTGTGTGTTTCCCCACTTTGGCAATTAGACCTAAGAGATGCTTCCTTTGACTGAATGTTTTGAGCCACTGCTTTTCCTGGCTTCACTAATTCTCAGTAGTTCTCATTTGCACATACAGGCTGGCATCTGTGTATTTATATGCACATGGAAACACTTTCATACCCCAACAGACTTCTGGACACACACAATAAGTACATTTCATGATGTGTTTTTGTTGTTGTTTTACCATGTATTAAGATAACTGTATTAGACACTTTTGCTGCATGTCAAAATAAGGTGTACGAGGTTGGTGTCTACAGATTTCTAAAACACAAAGCAGCTTGTTTTGATGAGGCCCAGCTCATCTCAAAGGCCACATGTTGTAGTCTGAGGCAAATTAGCTGAACAATTAAAAACCCACGTCGATAGTTATGGCAGTTAACATTCCTCGGCCCTTTAAACAGAAGAAAACCTAAGTCTGTAGGATAACCAGGTGGCTTTCCTCTTTTCCTAAGTGCTTTCCTTTCTGTATCATCAGGGTTGCAGCATGATGGTGGCTGACATTTTTATAGGGAGCCTGACTGTAATCTGTATTCTAGCAGCAGAATGGCAGCGGGAGGGGACAGGGAATGCCAGGAAAGGTGTAGTTAACAATTATGCATGCAGGTACTGTGAGGGACTCTTTCCAAAGCTATGATAAAGTGCTTCATTCTTCATTTAAACTCTCATAATCACTCTTGTTCTTTATCTGAAGAACCACATTTTTAGAAGAAGCAAAATTCTAAATAAACGTCAGCGCTTATGTTTGTTTTTTTCCCTTTAAATGTGGGAAAGAAGGGAGAATAGGAGGTTTTTGAAATTACTTTTAAATGGTGCTTTTAACCTAAAAATTGATTTCTCAGCAGAACAGTTGAGATAGTTAATTCAAAAAGTAAGACAGAAAAGAGTTTCTTCTTGATATTTTCGTTGCCAGGTGAGCCAACAGCGCATATGCTGGGGAATTTTGTGATGGCAGCCCCGTTAGTTTTGGTGCAAAGCTTCCTATTCATTAAACCACTATTAGCTGCTGGTATACTGCAGTTAGTGGGTCTACAAAGCCCTCACAATATTTGAATTTTCTTTTGGACCAAGTAAGAGACAAAAGAAGTGTTCTTGATCGCACAACATTCAGTGACTTATGAACATATGCTTTTCACATTGTGGCTTGGCCATCTTTAACATGTGTTTTTCAAGGTGGCCAAAAATAGGAAAGATCATGGAGGGTAGTTCATGGTGTACATACCTGGAAGGGGTACCAATCTCCTTCATACAGATTCCATGGGTCAGAATTCAGTTCTGGGCCTCCCTTAATTGGAGAAGGTAAGCTAGAAAATATAGACTAATTGTGTCCTGGAGAAATAGATAATAGGTTTGATGAAAGCTAACCAGTCGTGGAGACCTTCTGCAGATAACATTTGATAGGTCTTCATGTTTAATAAGATGTGGTGAGATAAAAGAGTGAAAGATCTCTTTTAAATTTTTAATATGGGAAACAATTTAGCTGGTTATAAATCTATGGGAGTTTGGGAATATTAGAGGAGAAGCAAGATTGGAGATTGGGGAATTATTTTTAAAATAATGACTTCCATTTTAATGTATGATTTTTAAAATATTCAAGGCCTTCAAATTAGAGGTGCCTAGCATACATTTGGAAATATAGGAAACATATTAAAACTAAAGATGTAACCTGGAGATACTGATTTTTGATTCTTCAAAATACACATAGTAAGTGTCAGTAAAGGCCATGAGACTGACCTGTGACAGCACATAAATAGGAGAACAGAGCTATAAACTTAAAGCACTATGTGTAATACAATATCTGCATGAGTACAAAGTAATAGAAACAGAGAGATGAGTAAATTAGGCTTTGCCTTCAAGGAGCTCAGAATCAAGTGGAAATAACCAAGGAAATTATTGATGACCTGCTGTGCATAAAGGCTGTAAAAGGTCCATATGGAATGAGCACATAGATTAAGGACAACAAACATTCAATAAATGTACTGACTGAATGAATTATATTCAACTGTTGGGAAATGCCCTGTCTGGTTTCAGGGACTGTGGACTTGCTGACAGGCAAGAGGGCCCCAAGGCTGGAAATAATCAAGAAGGCCTTGGGAGAATATACCACTGAGGAGACGAATCCTGTCTCCTCACATCACCCTGCTTGGCCCTGTGATTGTCAGTTAGTCAAACACAGGTAAGATTCCTCAAGTGGAAGGATGACATAAGACAGGCATAGCTGGTAGGGGCAGCAGGACAAGGACTTTGGAGTACATGGAGAAAAGGCAAAAAGGCCCGCACCCCTCAGCTCAGCTTGGACATGGCTGGAGTCCCCATTCTACCTGAAAGAAGTCTCCTTATCTCTCAGCAGCTCTGCCCCACCCACCTGGCTCTGTCTTGAAACAATACTAAAGACAGGTACGGCACTAAACTGGATGGGGTCCCAGGGGGAAATCAGGCCTAGAAGTAAGTTCCCTGAAGCGTGCTTTGTTCTTCCTTCAAAAGCTATGATAACCAGCTCATATTGGAAAGGAGATTTACATTATTCACAGACTCTGGACCTGAGGTAGATCTGTGTGTTCCTTCAGTTGTTATCTATGATCTCTGTTTTCTGTAAACATAGCCTTTTGACATTGATTGATGAGCTTTGCATCTAAACCCCTGGGCACATATGGTTCTCAATAAAAAGCTTTTGGACACAGGGGCTCGGGGCCTTCTCCACTAGAGGGAAGAGCCATGTCCCCTGTCCTGGCAGAGAGAGAAGTGTTTGCAATGACTCGTGTTTATTCCCCGCATCCATGACAACCCTGGAACGGGCTCTGCAGGATTCAGTCCCGCTCCCTCCTCAGCTGGCTCCGGACAGTGACCCTCAGATCCAGGAGCGCTCCACCGCGGCGCTCCCCATGACATTGAACTATATCACACAAAAACCCTTCTACTTCTTGATGGTGTCTCTCAAATTGTATATAGATAGTTGACAAATCCTCTGATAACTACATAAAGAAACTTCTGCCCCCACTACTACACATTCACCTTTATTAAGTGCTTACTTTGTGGAAGGCATTGTGTTGCTTTATGTGTTTTTCTCATTTAAGCCTCATAACAATAATATATGACATGAATTATTATTTTCATTAAATTTCAAAAAGATATGCATTATTTCCAAAGACAGAACAAAAAACTGGGGTAACAGAGGTCATCTAACTTGTTATGGGAACCTGTATCTGTCACACTTTTTACCACCTCACTGTATCTCCCTTTGGTCTTTTTGAAGAATAAACAGAAATACTAAGATGACTAATTTATTCGTTATTTTCAAATTAACAGGAAAATGGAAGCTGGTACCATGAACTTAAGTATATGGCTGTTGTGTTACAAAAAATTAGAATATTACTACCAGAATTTTTAGCAGTCAAGCATAAAACCACAACTGATTAACTGTTGTTACAAAATACTTTTTAGAAATTTACCATTGACTAAGAAAATTAAAGATTTTAAAAAACTTCCATGTACAATTGATGAGTACTATAGAGAAATGTTGAATGACATTAGCTACAATTTATTGAGGGAGCAATGTCATAATAATAATAACATATTACTTTACTAAATAAAACACTATTGAAAAGTGACTAAAATTTTACAAAAGATTTTATATTTTTTTAATAATCTTTATTTTTCAAATTTTATACCGTGACAATGTATAAAATACACTTAAAATTAGTAAATACCATTTTTGTATACTTTATGATCACAAGTAAATAGTTGTATGTGTATTCTCCCTCCTTCATTTTGCCCCATATATGCAAAGGCAAACACATCAAAAATAAATATAGAAGATCTTATAATAACTAAGAAGGTTAACAGAAATGTTTAACTTTTCTTTTATATTTAAAATTTTCTGAATATGAGTATGAATAACTGCTTTGGTGGTGAAAACTTTATTTTGAAAAAAAATTCAGATATTGTTTTAACAAAATAAACAGAAAATATAACTAATATATAAAAGCAGGTAATGAAACTAATCAAAGCACACAGTGTCTTAATAAAGCTCAGTAGTTGGGACAGAAATAACTATGGTGATATTGCCAGAGAAACTGAAAATAGCTTACAAATTGCTACACTCTGGATATGAAACAATATGAGCAATGCCTTTTACAGTATTCCTGAAATATAGGATATCAGTTTAATTGTTCCTTGGACATCTGGATATTTAAGGAATCTTCGGGGGTGATAAATCAACTTGATTTAAATTAAATTATGAACAGTAAGAGAAACATTTTAATTACTCTTTGTATTTTAAAAAATACTTATATACAAATCCATTCTGTGACATGGAGCATTTCTTCTTTTATAGTATTATTTCAAAGTCTTTTAACTGAAAATAATGGTCATAATTCAAAATGACCATCGGGTATGAGCTGGCGTTGGTTCATTCTGTCATTCCAGGGGGAATTTTTAAGACTAAATTTGCTTTCACAAGGGCTACTTTTGTTTTAGCATCTTGTAATCTTTCACAAGCTTTTTGAAAGCCAAGCATATCTAAAACAAATTTTTCTTCACAGTGTCTTTTATATGTTTCTTGAGCCCTAAGAGGAAAAAGAAAGGTAACAGAATGAGATGCTTTTAAATTACTAACACCATAAGATTCAGTCAAATCGTTAATAATTAAAGGTAGTCAAAATAGACGTATACAAATAGGAAATAAGATAGAACTTCACTTACTTTTTTTTAGTTTGCTGAAAGTTTTTTTTAAATACATAATATTTATTATATTTTTTAGAACTTCACTTGTTGCATAGAATTTTATTATAACATTCACTAATATTCATATCAGGTTAATATCGCTAAGATTTCTATTGGCTATAACAGAATCTGTACAAACCATGGCTTAGATTCCCAAGAAGATATCTAAGCCAGACTATGCCATGATTTGTAGGACTTTTACTTAAGCCTCAAAAATCCAAGCGTTTTCTAGGACTCTGATATTGGCTGAACTGCGTTCCCTCCAAATTTACATGTTGGAGTCCTAAACCCTAGTACCTTAGAATGCCATTGTATTTGGTGACTAGATCCTTTAAGAGGTAATTAAATTTAAATAAGCGCATATGGGTGAGCTCTAGTCCAATATGACAAGATGAAGAGACACCAAGGATCTGTACACACAGGACAAAAGCCATGTGAGGACACAGGCCATGTGAGGACACTGAGAAAGCAGCCACATACGAGTCCAAGGAGAGAGGCCAAAGGAGAAACCAAATCTTTCAACATCTTGATGTTAGGCTTCTAGCCTCTAAAACTGTGAGAAAATAATTTTCTGGACAAACCACCCAGTCTGTTGTATTTTGTTATAGCAGCCCTAGGAAAATAATATAAACTCTAAGTTAGAGAAAGATGAACCAGGTTACACTGTCAAACCTGGAAATGCCATGGACCTTAGAACAATTTATTCATTCATCTTCATTCATTCAACAGTTAATGTATCATAATGTCTGGCACATTCTCTAGGTGCTGTATAAGACATGATACATGAGAAGCTTATAGAGAGAGAAGTAAAAGTATATACATAGAAATAAAATGCTATAAAAACATAATGAAAGTGTATGTAACAACACAGAGCGAAACATGAAAAAATTAGAAAATGTAATCTGGAGAAAGGCAGAGAGAAGACAAGGAAGGCCTCAGTGCTACACTAAAAGCAGAGAGGGTAGCACAGCGTGGCAGGCTCCTAGAAGTGCCGACACTCTGTGTGTCTGGGTAACACAGTTCTGGTAAGAACAGTAGAGCAGATAAGCCTAGAAAAACAGACTTTGACTAAAACATCACGGTGTTCTTTATTTGTATTTAGGGGAACTCAAAATCTGGATTTGGAAAGTGAAAAAGGAGCCCAAGTCTAAGAAATTTAAAAATTATTCACCATGTGATTTTGGAGAAGTTATTTTCATTCTCTCCCCCTCATTTTCTTCATCTTTGAAAGGGGGAATAATCCACCTCATAGGATTTAGTAAAGGACTAAATGAATTAACATATTTAAAATCTTTAGAGGAATGCCTGACATTCAATAAGTCCTTCTATTAGACAAATAATAGTGGCATTCATCAAGACAGAAAATGTAAGAAGAGCAACAAGATGGGGGAAAAGTTTGGAGTTCTGTTTTTGTAAAATGGAGTTTTAACAGCCTGGCTATCCATGTGGTGACGCTAAGGGAGTAGAATATGAGAAGCAAAGTCTTGTGTTTAAGAGAACAGGGAGAACTTGGGTTTGAAATCCAGTTCTGCTACTTACTGATTGTGTGATTCTTAGACAGTTACTTTAAGCTATGTGTGTTTCATTTCCTTCATCTTTAAGAAGGAACAGTTTAACTCATAGGGTTAAGTAAGGGATAAATAACCTAATACATTTAAAAACTTTAGAGAAATGCCTAGAATGTAACAATCACTCAATGAAAATTAGCTACAACTATTGTGTCTGGAGCTCTGGAAAATAATCTTGTCTGGACAAGTATAGCAAAGCAAAAGTCACCACAAAAGGGACTTACAAGTGTAATTAAGGGTACTGATTAAGTCTAAAAATGTATTGAAATAGCCCTCCCACAGATAACAATTATAAACTGTCGACAAAACATTAAAAAAAAGAACCTGTTTAAAAGAATTGAAGAGAAACACAATTTACCATAATTATATAGTGTATCAGGATCTAACAACTGGAAAATAAAATTATGAAAGAAATTCCATTTCTGATGCCATCAAAGAAATCCTATAAAATACTTTGACACAAGCTACATGAAAATATGTGCGGCCTATCTTTGAAGACTGCATGTTGTGAAAATAAAGAATTAAAAATGATAAAAGAATTTAGCCAAAAAAAAAAAAAAAGAAAAAGAATTTAGCCATAAATAAGTACACAAGAGTTTCAAATTTAAGAGGTACAGTAGTTCCAAGTTATAATGGTGATTTTGTACGTTGATGGAAATTACATTAAAGATTGTTGGGATCCAGATGTGTTTAGGTTAGGCAATTGAGAGGGTTGTTCTTATGAATTTGGAAGTTAACCATGATTAAAGTAAAAGTTGGATGGGGAAAAGTGTTGGGAAATGGCCCCCTGTTATTTCAGGAACTGTAGCCCCTCTGGCAGGCGAGAGGGCCCCAAGGCTGGACCTCAGCATGGAGGTCTTGGGAAAATAGGCCACTGAGGAGACAAAACCTGTCTCCCTCACATCACCCTGCTGGACCCCGGAGAATGGCTGGTTAGTCAATGATGGGTAAGACCCCCTTGTTGGAAGGGGCAACCTAAGACAGGCACAGCCACAATGGGCATCAGGGAAAAAACTTGGGGGACATAGAGAAAGGGTAAAGACCCTCACCCCTCAGCTTTGATACGGCCTGGGTCCTCATTCTATCTTAAAGAAGTCTCCTTATTTCCCGGCTGCTTTGCCTCCCCCCGCCTGGCTCAGGTTTGAAACAATACTGGAGACAGCCTTAAACTTGATTTGGCGGTTCCCGGGGGAAATCAGGCATAGAAGTAAATTCCCTGAAGCATGTTTTGTTTTTCCCTCAAAAGCTATGATAACCAGCTTATGCTGGGAAGGAAATTTACATTATTCACAGACCCAGACCCTAAACCCTTTGGCGCTCTTATGTTTACGCTCTCATGTTTACTCATCTCGGACCCATGTAAATCGATGTGTTCCTGCCTTTTTTTTCCCTCAACATCATCTATTCTCTGTGAACATTAGCACACTGATGTAATGAGATCATCTGTGCATTCCTATTACAGGGCCTTCTCCACTAGAGGGAAGAGCCGCCCCCTCTCCTGGCCGACAGAGAAGTGTCTGGAACAATTTATTATTTCCCCCCATCCAAGATGACCCCCGGGACAGGCTCTGCAGGAACAGAGTCCACACTCCCTCCCTAAGCTGGCCCCCAAACAGGGGCCTGAAGAGTCCCTCCCTCAGAAAAGCTTTATGAATCAAGATATAAAGACTGCAGTGAATGAAGAGAGTAGTCTGGGAGGTCCACTGATGACCAAAATAAAGATAAGCAGAAGATTCTGCTTGTAATTGGGTAACTGCCTCATGTGCTATATCTTCATGCTAATTGATACTCAACTTCAAAATGGACAGCCTGCTGTTCTGCCCTGAGCAGTATCATCAATTTTTCAGAATATGGGAAAGAATATTTTGGAAAATGTATGACCAGCTTTTACCTGGTACATAAGTTCTTTCATTTCAAAGTCTTTTTTTAAGTCATCCTTAAATGCCCCTTGGGGTATTTTATCAATTTCCTAAACTAGAGATTTATGGTTTCCCTTTCTTCTTTCATTCCTCCTCCCTCAACAGCAGGAACAGGGAGCTACTCTCTCAGTAATGACTTCACTGGTTATTGAGATTCATTAGGCTGCTTTTAAGTTAAGTATTTGAACCAGAAAAAAAAAAAATTAAAAAGTTCTGAAGTCTCTAGACAGACTCTACTTTTTTTTTTTGAGTCATAGCACTTTTCTACATGTTGATACTCGATCTTTATTTGAAAATATTTATAAATAAAACTCAATAATGCCTTTTAGGACAACACTATGTTGCCTTATTCCTGTCTGCTTTCAAAGATAATATCTTTGTAGCAGTTTACATGAGAAGATAATTCAGTTAAGATACATTAGGAAGCTCACTTGACTCTGTATCTTCTATAAATTAATGATGGCCAGACATTCAATTTGCTGTGATAAAACTAAGCTGATTGAATTTCTTTAACACTGATTTGTATTATATTTGTGTTTTGATATGAGACTAGCTTTCATTCTCTTTTCCAAAATATTTTTATTAAATTATAGAAAAATTATTTCCAAAAATCTCTCTCACATACAGAGTGTACATTAATGAAAATCGTTTATAAATTATGACAGAGAAAAACAAAATATTTTTATACTTAAAAAGATATTATATAAAGTACTTCAGTAAATAGTTTAAAAATTGCTAGTTATAAACAGAAAAGGCAAATGCTTTCTTCTTGAGACCACCTTAGAGTAAAAACCATTTTTTTTGTAAATGATAGCATTTATAAATGTAAATGAAATAGGCAGCTATAATGTTCTCAAGTATTTCTAGATAAGTTTTAAATATATGTGTGTATTTATATAGTTTGGCCACTTAAAATATAACCAGGATAAAGCTGTGGCTGTTAAGCTTGAATCTAATAGCAGAAAAAAAACTGTGCGAAAAACTTTGAAAGGGTTAAAAATATACGGTGTGCCCTGTCTAGTGCACCCTTCAGAGTAATCTGTGTATTTCAATCTCTTTGAGCTATTTTACAGCTTTATAAGTTAAGAAAAACTATGAGTAATGCAAATGATCCATGTCTATAGAAATGTAAATGAATTTTGTCCAACTGAATTGCAATTGATTATTGCCAGTGGATAATGACTAAATTTATTTTTGACATTTCTGATTACCTATTAATGTGTATGTTCTTAGAATTCTCATTTGAATTGGTTGTAATGTCTTACTAGTTTCTTCATTAATTAATGAGTTAAATAAAACCTTTGACATGTTCATTTTATATTTATATCAGTCATGGTTTTATGGTCTAAAAATATCCTTTGTAAACAAAATGTGATATATTTATATGAATATCATCAGCCATAAAAAAGAAGGAAATATTGCCATTTGCAATAACATGGTGGAAGTTGACAGCATTATGCTACGTGAATTAAGTCAGACAGACACAGACAAATACCATCTGATCTCAGTTATATGTGGAATCTAAAACAATCAAACAGAGCTCATAGACACAGAGAATAAATTGGTAGGTACTAGAGGGGGTAAAATGGATTAATGGGGTCAAAAGGTACAAACTGATAAAACAAATAAGTCATGGGGATATAATGTATATCATGGTGACTATAGCTATTAATACTGTATTGAATACTTGAAAGTTGCTGAATCTTAAAAATTCTCATATAACACTGCATTGCATATTTAAGAGTGTTGAGGGAATAAATTTTAATAGTTCTCATCACAAGAAAAAAAATTTATGTTTTCAGATGTTAGCTAGACTTAACGTGGTGCTCATTATATAAAAGTAGCAAAACAGGATACTATACATCTGAAACTAATATGTTATATGCCTATGATACCTCAATAAAAATCTTTTCACAACAAATAAAATTTAAATTTACTAAGTGTAGGTTAAAGTATTTTGAATCAGTACAGTTTTATAACCTCCTCACTTAAGTATAGTTTAAAATTTAAAAATCTTCATTAGGAACAATGAAAAATGTTTGCATTTGTTTGAAATAGGTTTGTCCCAAGTGTATTCTGAAGATTAATATTCCCAGATATTTCCTAAAAAGAATGTTCTGTGGTAAAATGCATGTTTAAATGCAATGATTGTTTTTTTCTGGTAGGATTTCTACAGGTCTTTACCATAAGACTGTCCACTGGTATTTAAAGGCCCTAACTAAACCAATTTAATGTTTCTGAAGCAATCGCACCTCAACTACTCTCCTTCATAAACCTTCTGCTTGCTATAGGTAAAGCCATATTCACTAGCTCCTTCCTCTGCCATTCCTTATTCTGAATTTGTCGATTTGGCTCATACTCTCTGCAGATAAGGCTTTGAGTTCATATCTCGGCTTTTCCAAATTCTAATCAACAATTGTAATGTTGCTACTCTGCAATAATTCAAATATATGCTTAAATTTGCCACTGGGCTCTGAGTTCTTAGAGATCAAGAATATCTTAATAATTTTTGTATGGGGGTATAGGAGAGAACTAAAATCAATTGACAAGTTGATGTTTTCTCTTTGAAGGTTGCCTATATTGCTGTCACCTATTTATTTAAATTTTAAATCTGTACCTTGATAGTTCTTGTACTATTATGGGCTATGTTATTATTTCACTTGGGAAGTCTTATTGCCTGGTGACTTATCTCCACCTAGATTTTCAGTTTCTTGAGGCCAAAGGATCTGTATATCTCCACATCACCTGGCATGTTCAACAGCTGGAGTTGAATTACTATTTGAATAAAATCAAATGTAGATAGGTAAGTACTCCTTTGTAGAAATGCCAGTGATCACAGAGGGACAGAGAAAGAATGGCTGGATAAGTTTATTGTAATCAAATTAAGTACTTGTTCTAAGATAGATATCTATTCTAATGACTAGAGAAGCTATATTCATAGCTTGGTTATATTTTTGGTATATATTTAATAATTTTGATTATATATCCTCAGTTTACAAACATTTAGAAAAAATGCTTCTCATTCCAGTGGCTAAAATATTGAGTACAAAGATATAAAAAACACTTGTCCATACCAGAGACTATTATACAGCCCAGATAGACTTACTGATACTTACAACACTTAATTTAAAAACTGTGATTTTTATCTATTTTCTTCAATAAAAGAATATTGAATAGAGTTTTGGAAACTTCTGTACCAAACACTGAAATGGAACAATAAACCAAATTATTTTATAAAGGATTTCATGAGCTAACCTGATATAAGCCCTCTTATAACTATTACAATTGAGATTTTTAAAAACTGCATGGAAGCAACACCAAATGAAAAGGACTAACAGACTAGAAAAGCCATTGGAGAGACAGTAATGGTGAAGGTACAATTTCAGCTGGTTGGATCATAAAAGGGTACATTTTGGCAGTGGTTGTCTAGTCCACGCACTGCGTGATGGGGGCAAAGAGGGGAAAGCAGTCACCCTCCGCTGTGCATCAGCTTCTACTGATGTGTCTCCCTGGAGGAGAGAGTGCTTTTTTCCTTATATATGGGCATTACTCCTTCACCAGTCTCAGCCCTTTAAAGTAAAAATCTGCTCAACCTCATAGAGTCTCTGTTGCATGATATGTAGACAATACTAACATTGTGGGCTTGTAGTGCCTTTTCAGAGTGCATTATTTGAGGGGAAAAAGGGGGATAGAATTAGTAAGACCTTAGGGATAAGAAAGCACAAAGTTGAGTAGGGAGTGGTGAATAATTTAGTCTGTCTGGAGCAAAGAGTGAGGCTAGGAGAAGAGGAAGGAGGCTACCGCATAAAATTTAGTAGGCTGGGCCTAGATAGACTGGAAGAGAGCATGATGTCTGAAATGCCGCTCAGAGGAGATTAGGTTTTATTTTGTGGACAGTTGGAAGGTATCAACATATTTAAGTAGCAAATGACATAATCAAAACAATTTTAAAGGACGGTTTACGTTTATAGGCTGGAGAACCGGTATGGGTGGAGAATGGAGATAAAGGTCACAGCTGAAAGGACAATGTGAATTCCAGAGGAATCATAAGAACCTGAATTAGTTTAGGAGAAGTGGGATTGAAAAAGAAGGACCCACTTGAGATTCCTTTAAGAAGTAAAATGAATAAAGAAACATATTAGATGTTGGCAATAAGGGAAACTGAATTGCAAATACTGTGTTTAGTAGCACTGGTCAAGAGGCTAATAATGATGCTGTTTACAGTAAGAAGAAACACTAATTAAGAAGCATATTTTGTTGGATAGGGTGGGGTGGGGAAATATATAGTTGTTTTACTGTATCATCTTTGATACACACACACTTAGGACATATTTGTCCATTTCTGTTTTCCAAAGTTGGATATACCATATTATAAAGGACTGTTCATTAGATTTCAATATTTACTATGCAATATTCATGTGAAATTGACTTAAACACTTCTATTATGTCAAAATTGTACTTACTTAAATTCCTTCATGTGTTTAAGTAAATTCTTTTGATATTTTTCTGTTTCTAGTTTTTGCTGAACAATCAGATGTTTCTCTTTTAAGAGAGCTTTATTTTTATTCAATCTGTCGAGTTTAGTTATCCCTTTAATTAAAACAGTGCGCTCATTATTTAAGTTTTGAATTAATAAACGGTCTTCAGCTTTTCGTTTTTTTCCTTCTAAAAACAAAGCTCTCCTTTCTCTAACTTTTTCAAGGTAGTTGACTCGGTCCTGCCAAAGTTGGTATAAACCAGCCTGAATTGCCCTATTATCATCTGCCATTTGTTTTTGTGCAGCACACTTTTTCTTATATAAAGTTTCTTTAACAATTGAGCTGGCTCTTTCCTTGGCAGCTTGAACCATGGTTACAGCGATTACTTCTTTCTTATGGCTATCCTGCTTCTTTTGTTCTGAGTAGTATTTATCAATATCACAGAGTGTTTTAAGTTTTATACCAGTTCTGTGTGTTGTAAAAAACTCTCTTCTTGCATTCTTCTCCAACAACGTGTGTGTTTTTTTAATTACTGGTTTTTGATGAGTGGTAGGAAATGGCTGGACATATGTAGGAAAAGAATCTTGTTTTTTCTCTTTTGACACTGCAGCATATTTCAATGAACCTGAAGAATATATGGGTGGTTTAAACACTGATATCCTAAATCTGGCATGCAATTCTTCATCCTCAGTTTCATCCTTAGACTCCTGACCTACATCACACAGCAGACAAATACAATATATTATACAAGTGTTAAGCACAGTTTAATTTCTGTACCAATTGTTTTGAAAGATACATTAATAAAATTCACAAGAAACTGCTATTTATTTATATTAAGAAGCATTTTTCCCAACTGATGTTGCTTTTCAATGTGTGATTTAATAGTGATTTTTGGAAATAAAAAATCACTATTAAAACATTTTAACATAGAAGTGCACTGATTCTTATGTTTCCTGTAGTATCTTATCTATTTAAATTATTTAACTTGTACTGACTCAAAAGCAGTATCTTATAATTAAATATACATATTAGTTTTCCATATAGTTATCATCTCATAATTACAGAGAACTTTATCATCTGTTTTACCTTGTTTTTCTTAACTCCGGTAGAAACTAATTGCTGTCGATAACATTGTTTTTCCCTTCACTGGATACACAAAGGAACCAAATCTCTCATCCTTCTTTGCTATTATTGTGGCCATGAGATTAAGTCCTCTCCAACAGAGTGTGGGCAGAAGTGATATGTGTCATTCCTGGCCCATGGCTATTAAGAAACAAACGTGCCTCCTCCTTCTTTCTTCTTTTGATCCACTGCACAGAGGTAAGGATAAGTCCCCAGAAGATGGTAGATACACAGGTTGGGAAGATCCTGGCTCCCTCAATCACTGCTTGAAAAACTACTCACTGATAAGGGTTACTTAATTTGGACTCTATGAAAGCCAGTAATAAAACCAGAAAGGAAGAAGTAAAATTATCCCTATGTGCAGAAGACATAATCTTGTAGCTAGAAAACTAAAGACAAAACATGGTTGGAACCAGTAAATTGAGTAAAATTGCAGAATACAAACTCAACATACAAAAATTGGTTGAATTTCTATACACTAACAAAAAAAATCTGAAAAAGAAATTTTAAAAAGCTACTCCATTATGATAGCATCAAAAGAATGAAATTCTTACAAATAAATATAACCAAGTAGGTGAGAGATCTTCAAAATGAAAACATTAAGACATTGATGAAAGAAAATGAAGAAGACACAAATAAATAGATAATTTTGTGTTATGGATGGAAAGAATCAATTTTTTTAAAAAGTCTGTACTACTCAAAACAACCTATGAATTCAATGCAATCTCTATCAAAATCCTACAGGCATTTTTTTTACAAAAATAGAAAAAAAACACCTCTATAATTCATATGAAACCATAAAAAAGACATAGACAAATCAGTCTTGAGAAAAAAAACAAAAAGGCATGATACTCCTTGTTTTCAAAATACATTATAAAACTATAGGAATCAAAATACAGTAGTAAGGTATTGGCATGAAGATGGACATATAGACTAATGAAAGGAATAGAGAGTCCAGAAATAAATTCACACATATGCAGTAAACTGATGTCTGACAAGGGAACCAAGCATACAAAATGGAGAAAGAATAGTCTCTTCAACAAATAGTGATGGGAAAATTGCAATTCCACATGCACAAGAATGAAATTGGAAACTTATCTCACAATGTATACAAAAATCACTCAAAATTGATGAAATATTTAAATATAAGACCTGAAATTATAAAACTCCTAGATATAGGGAGGAAGCTTTATAACTTTCATCTTGACAACAATTTCGTGACTGTGACACCAAAAGCATAGTCAATAAAAGCAAAAATAGACAAGTGGTATTACATTACATTAAAAAGCTTCTGCATAGAAAAGCCATCAAGAGTGAAAAAGGCAACTCACAGAATGGGAGAAAATATTTTTAAAACATGTATATCTGATAAGGGGTTAATATCCAAAATATACAGAACTCTTACAACTCAATGGTAAAAAACTTAATATTCCATTTTAAAATGGGCTGAAGACTTGAATAAACATTTCTCTAAAGAAGACACCCAAATGGCCATCAAATACATGGAAAAAGAAAAACTCAATGTCACTAATCATCAAGGAAGTATAAGTTAATACCACAATGAGATATCTGCTCACACCTAGCAGGATGGCTACTATTATAAAGACAAACACCACAACTGTTTGTAAGGATGTGGAAACACTGGAACCTCTGCACACTGTTAGTGGCAATGAAAAATGATGCATCCACTATGGAAAACAGTATGGAGGATCCTCAAAAAATGAAAAATAACACTACTATATGATCCAGCAACCCCACTTCTCTCATTTATCAAAAATAATTTAAATCAGGATGTCAAAGAGATACTAACACTGTTATGTTCACTGGAGCATTATTCACAATAGCCAAAGTGTGGAAACAACCTAAATTTCCATTAACATATGAATGACTAAAGAAATGTGGCATATACATATTCTGGAATATGTTCAGTCTTTTAAAAGAAGGAAATTCCCCAATACATGACAAATTAAATGAGCTTTCAGGACATTAAGCTAAGCGAAATAGGTCAGTCACAGAAAGACAAATGCTTCATGATTCCATTTATATAAGATATCTAAAATAGATATTTAGGATTTTTAATTGCTATGTGTGGTCATATTAGAGTGTTCTATTTTTCTCATTCCTAAATTATTAATATCTAATTTGTTTCAATTGTAATTCATCCTGATATGTTAATTGTCCTTCTATTTTAAATTATTTTTGGATAATGTATCTAGTATTTCTAAGACTCTGAACACTTATCCAATTTCAGACCTCAGATTTCAATTTCAGTGGTTTAGTAATGTAATAGAGACCAACTTCCCCCAATGGCAACTACTCAAAATTACATATGGACTCAATGAAGAACTCAATAGCTTCCAGCTTCCTAGTCATTCTGATTTATCCATCTATCAATCCATCTATCTATCCATCTTTCCATCTATCCATTTATAATTTAGTAGCTTGAAAATTCACTCAAAATTCAGAAATCACAACTATAAAGTTTCTTATTCAAACTCCCTCAATTTATTTTTCCCTCTAAATTTTACTTGCCTTTTTAATTCTCTGAGAATTACTTGGTTTTTATGAATATTAGCCATCTCTCTTTACTGGAAAAATACTTTCTTTCCTAAACACAGGAATCAGATAGCAAATATAATATATGTGAAAAATACATATGACACTGAACATGTGCTATGTATAAGGTATGTTTGTAAATATGGGAGATGAGACACTATGAAAGGCATGATCCCAGGTCTCATGGAACTTCTAGTGGCAGAAAGCAGATGACAAACTCACAAACAGGAACATATCTAACAAGAATGAGTGACTTCATGAAAATCAATCGGGTAAAATGACAGGAAGTTTAGTAATTGTACCGGGTATACAGGAAATATTTGAATAGGAAATTCAACTCAATCTCAAATGTAAAAGACCAGAAAGAATAGTAAGTGGGAAAATTTTGGGAAAAGAATGCTCCAAGGGAAATGAGAAGTGACTGTAAGGACATTACACAGGGGCACATGTGTCCTGTTAGGGATACAAAGAGAAAGCCATTTTTGTTGGAACTCAGTGAACAAGATAAAGGTGGTGTGAGATATGATCAGAGACGTAAGACAGATTATATGGAGTATTCTAGGCCACGGAAAAAAGTTTGGATTTTATTATGACATTTAGAGCCATTTAATAGGGGAGTAATATGATATGTGATTTTGCCATGAAGAAAATGGATTTGAATGCAGACCACAAGAGTATAGGAGAAAAGCCAGTTTAAAGGCAACTATGGAGCCACAGGCAAGATTTGGTGGTAGGCAGGGCCAGAGTGGCCGCAATGAAGTTGCAGAGAAGAGGAAAGATTTGGGATATTTTTTTACAATATCCCAAAATCAATAGGGCTGTTGATAAATAAGATCACAGAGGAGAAAAAGAAGAAATCACGTGTGAATGCGACTAGCATTTTGTCTTTAGAAACCAAATGGATGGTGATGCAATTTGTTGAGATGAATACTGGAGGGGAAATTTGATAGAGAACTAGGTTAAATAGTCTATGTATTACTATTTCTGAAGTTTATACCTTTTATATCCAAACATAAGCTAACATTTTATTAATGCCATATTTAAATTCTTTAATTTAAAAAAATAATTTCTTTAATATAATGTCATTTTAAAATTTTTAATTCTATAAACAAGAAAATCATTTTAAAGTAACACTATTTCCATTTACAAGATTACCAGTAATAATCAGGTAAAAACTGAGAAAAAAACACCTTTCTATAGTTTTTATTAATTATACCAGATGATTTTTGAGGTACAGCCATTATTTCTACAAACTGCCTTCTTCAATGCAAGGTATTTTTCAAATACAGTTTACCCTATGAAAAATGAATGCTTGCTAGAAAGTTATTCTTATATTTGTACAAAATATGAAATTCTCTATTTGAGAGCTAAACAACTGGACCAATTGTAATTAATTTATTCTCAACTGCTTCAACAGATAATTTTTTTAAATTATTTTATCTGTTTTTAGAGAGAGGGAAAGGGAGAGGAAAAAAAGGTAGAGAAACATCAATGTGAGAGAAACACTGGTCAGTTGCCTCTCGTACATGTCCCAATTTGGGCCTGACCCCATAACCCAGGCATGTGCCCTGCCAGGGAGTCAACCTGGCAAACTGTCACTTTGTGGGATGACAACCAACCAACTGACCCACATTGGTCAGGGTCAACAGATAGTTTTAACTGTCACATGAAACTTTTAGAACTCACAGAAACACAGAAGCCAGTACCATTTTTGGTCAACAGAGCTTGTTTGGTTCTTCTAAATGTATTACAGATTTATGAGCCATCTGTGAAGAAACAAATGGTCTAAGACTATTTAAAATCAGTGCAAGCATGGCCTGAATGTTCACAAATGGGTCTGAAGGAGTTGCTCTCTTCAGCAAAACTGCCTTACATCTTAACAAAAGCAAATGGCCTTGTGTGGTAAACAGGCTTGGAGGCAGTTTTGAGTTCAGGTGAAACAAAGAAGAATAAGAGGGAAAGGAGAAAAAGGAAATACAAACAAAGAAAATGTGACATCAACTTCTGTCATGCACTGAGTTTTCCTTGATTTGT